ATATATATATATATATATATAGTTAGTCAGTTACGATTTAAGAATTATTTGGGTTTGTAAAAACATTTTTTTTTTCCAAAATTCATCAAAGGGCTCCTCACGGTGTTAAATGGCCACATGCAGCCCACGGGCCACCAGTTGTTCATCCCTGACCCAAGTTTTATTTTGACAAGAATTATTTTGGGGAGGACTTAAAAATGTCTTCATGATGCTAGCCACTAATGCCATTATCGGCTACGTCCTTAGTTCAAGTGATCATTCAATTCTGCCTCACAAATGAAATTATTAATAAATATAATACAATGCATATTTGGTTGAAATTTGGGGGGGAGGGGATTAAGCCATTATTTTTGGAAGATGACATATGAAAACCAAAATCGACTTACCATGTCTGAAAATTGAATGGGTGTCTATGCAGAAAATGTGGGCAAAAGCCAGCTATTTATCCGCCTGGCTATCAGCCATGTTGAGGTCTTTTTTTGAACAAAGAAAATAATGTTTGTGTTTGGCTTGGCAAAGGGAGACAGCCCCACAACCTTACTCCAGAGACCCAATTAATACAATGTCCCCGCTTTTCAAGTCCACAGCTTTAACCCCTGGTGTTCTTAAAGTATTGAAGCGTACATGTACTGCACTGCACTATACTGTTTTGTTTTTGGGTTTTTTTGAGGGGGGGAGTGGGGGCGCAAACAACATGGTGTGATTTTCAAGGGTGCTGCAGCTACACTGAACTTATACTGTATAAAGAGGAGGCGGGCAGGAATTACGGAGAGAGTGACAGAAACACTCAATGCAGTGGATCTTAACCTGGGTTCGATTGAACCCTTGGGGTTCAGTGAATCGGTCTCAGGGGTTCGACGGAGCCTCTGCCATGGAGGTTCAGACACACCCGACTCAACATGTCAATTAGTTATGACACGCCCACTTGGCCATCACTGGCTGGTTCATTTTATGCACAATTAAAAAATGTATACTTATGTATTGAATTTTTATTTAAACTGGTTCATTTTGTGCACAATTAAAAAAACTTATACTTATGTATTGAAATTTAATTTAAGTTTCTTCTGTTTTTAAAAAATGCGTTTTTTATGCCTTGAATTTGTAAAAAAAAAAAATCATATTTTTATTTTTCACTAATGAAGGGTTCGGTGAATGTGCATATGAACTGGTTGGGTTTGGTACCTCTAACAAGGTTAAGAACCACTGCAAAGTAAGTCATCGAGTTGCCAATGCATGCGGCTCATTCTACAATCGGAGGACACTCTCTGTCTTCCTCACCGCCGTAAAATTTCAAACAAACAATCTATGCACAAAAGACAAGCATGTACTTGTGTAAATTCTAGTTGTCCTGAGACCAAACAACTGGTGCTGTAGTTAGTGATATCTGAACAGCTCTTGAGCACGCCCTACACCAGGGGTCACCAAACTTTCTGAAGCTGACAGCTATTTTTGGAGTATTGATAAATGCAAAGGGCAATCAGGTTCATACACACTTTTGAACTAACAAAATTGCTACCTTTATAACCTTATATTAATCATGAAAGTTATTCATTTGTGTGAAGACACTGATCATGTTTATGATTTTTCATAGCAATGATGAAACAAGTGAATAGCATTATGCAAAATGGAATCCAAATTCCGTCTGATTTTTGAAGAACACTATTGAAGAACACTAATTTTACTGTTGTTCAAGAGGGTACTTGGAAGGGCAAATGTTTTTTTAGCTGGTACTGTATTTTGTTTTTTGTTTTTTGTTTTAAACTTGCAGAACGAAAGGAACGCGCCGTTGCCAAGGAAGGCAATTTCCCGACTGAGCTGTCCCTTTCCGCTAAGTCCTAATTGAAGAGCTGTCCTGTTCATTGTGACGTCCGCCCCAGCAAAGCACCACACAGCAAGTCCCAAGGGGGAAAACCCCACACACGCATCAAACGAGGTCACATCAAACACAATACAACAGCAATGACAAGATACGTGGCTAACGTTGACGCTCCGAAAACTTTGAGGTGCGTAAAAAAAAAAAAAAAAAAAAAAAGGCCGAGTTTACAAAAATATTTTCGCACTTCCTACCTTTTCCAGCGAGAGCACAGGAAAGGCCGCAGACGAGCCAAAAGAGGAAATCGGGCACGGCGATCTTCGCCATGGCGGTCAGTTGGTACGGCGTATGCCTAAGCGTTCTGCCCTCCTTGTTCAGCCGGTGTCGTGTGTGAAGAGCTGCGCGAGTTCCTCCACTGGCCGCTCTCGCTCCGTCTCATCTTGGGCGTGTGGAGAGACGTTCAGTGACAGCTCGGAGAGATTACGAGACCAATAGTCTTCGTCAAATGTCGTTTCATTTAACTCCGTTTCAAAATTAAGTCCTATATTATTGTTGAGCCAACAGAAAACGTTGGAGGCAGTTACCAATACTGTGTAGTACTATACATTCTAATCCCTGAGACTAAATGTGCTAACCGCGTTTAGCTTCTGCTGCATGTTGAGCAATATCCTACTCTACAACAGACAGACGAATTAAACACAATCGTTATCATACGTGCCATTTCCATAATAGGATATTAGAAATTAGTTGATGTTTAAATGTAACTGTTTCTAATCACATTTCCTCTGTCCTATAGCCAGCCACTCCACATATTAGATAGATAGATAGATAGATAGATAGATAGATAGATAGATAGATAGATAGATAGATAGATAGATAGATAGATAGATAGATAGATAGATAGATAGATAGATAGATAGATAGATAGATGTATCTTTGTTCATTCATCAATCTATGCCAGTGATGTGCAGAACAATTAATGCTCTTCCACTAGATGGCACAAGGTACCACAGGGGTCCTCGAGGGCGCCTATCTTGCTAGTTTTACATTTTATATAGTCTTACATCGTATGAAACACTGAAAGGTCTGCATTGATGACATGTATTTAATCAGACCCACATCTAAATGATATATTTTGCTCATGTTCATGATACGTCCTCAATAAAAGTCGAGCAATATGACAAAACTATATTAAAGAATATTCTCATGACATCCATCCATGTTCCGATCCGCTTGAGGGTTGAGGGGGGCTGGAGCTTATTCATACTGCTAATTATATGAGCTTTGTGTTCAACCAAATAGGCACAGTTTTCACACTGAGTTCATTTGTGAAAATGAGATCATTATTTCAGAAAAGTGTACAGACTGTGCGATTTGTGACGATTTTGTCTGGTGGTGCGCCATGAGATTTTTCTAATGCAGAATAAGTATGTTGAGTCAAAAAAAGGTTGGGATAAACTGTTGTAGAGTGTTTAGGGGTTTGTGGGCACTGTTTCCATCATGCTTTGCTGATTTCAGCATTAACGTGTGTTCAAGTCAGTTTTCAGTAATACATTTATGTCCTCTTTAAAGTTACATGATCCTATTTATGTGAGTTGAGGTAGATTTGGGGAATGGAAACAACTGATGATAACTTACCGTTTGATACATTCCAGATTCATCTTCCTAGAAAGCATCACAATGGCACAGCTTACACTGTCAGAAATGTAAGTCTTTCAGCTTTCACACCATATGTTCTCCAATTATTCTTCCTTTTTCCTCTGCTCCTGGGTGTGGGTGTGTGTGCTCTGAGGATTAGAGTGAAAGGCGGCTCTCAAGTGAGTTCGGAAAACAACACAAATACACATGCAGAAACACAAAGTTACATGTGCACACTGTCACATTTTCCTTTGTTATTGTTTCCCTGAAACGGGTTGGCTTGTTCAAAGCAGTCAAGGGGAGAATTATAATGAGGTGTTCCTTTACCTCTCTTGCGTCTTATTGTTAATCATTCCAAAGGGAGAGAAGAGGTGGGATAAAACACATTCCTTTATTTTGGCCTGTGATTGGCTGGCAACCAGTTGAGGGTATACCCCACCTACTGCCCAAAGACATCTGGGGTAGGCTCCAGCACGCCCATGACCCTCGTGAGGATAAAACGGTTCAGATAATGGATGGATGGATGGATGGATTGGCATGTTTTTAGTTCTAATCTCAGCAATGTGCTCATTGCCAATTTGGTTTTTAACATGGACCAGTTTCAACCAGTTTAAACTTCAAAAATGTCAAAACTTAATTGAAATTACTCTCCGACCTTATTTAGTAGCTTTTTTGACACCTGAATTCTATAACAATCTAATTTACAGTGTGGTTCTGATGGTGAAGTGCCATACTCACGTTACTTTGGCGCTGCCGGCGTGGGTTCAGTTCCGACTCAGAACTGGTGTGAAGGTTTGTCTGTTTCTATATGTCCCGGAGATTAACTGGCAACCAGTGTGGAGGGCAGTCTGGCTCGCGCCCGAATTTTGCTACTGTGGGCTCCAGCGCACCCCTGACCCTGAACTAGATATGCAATGTAGAAAATGGATTATACATGTATGAGTTATGACTGTGATTGGCTGGCCACCAGTCCAAGCTGTACCCCGCCTACTGTCTGAAGACACCTGGGACCGTCGTGAGTATGAAACAGTTGGATAAGTTTTTTTTTTTCAAAAAAAATTAATATCCAAAATATCGACAGACTTTTTTTTTTAACTACATTTTTTATTACTGTGTGTAATTACCTTCTCCATACATCTTACATCGTGCATTTTAGACCTGTCGCCAGTCGCCAATCGGCGATTATTTGGGAGCAAATTCAAGTTGTCTAGTCCTGCACCATGGACAGCTACGTCATGACTCCATCCCACGAGGTGTCGCACTTAACCCGTTTTTTTCCCCGCAGAATGGAACTTAACACCGTTCCTTGTCGTATCACGGAGCTAAAACAGTGTGACACATGAACGATGAGGAAACAGTACGCCACGCAAAAACCCACTCTCTTATCACGACTAATTTTAGTGTTTAGATACTTCTGTGGATTTTATTAAGGCTTTGGCGATTCCATTTATTAAAAAAAATATTTCAATGAATCGGAACCTGTGTTAAAGTCACCTAAGAAACTCATGACGGACACCAAAGGAGAGGTCTGTTGTGGCTGCTCCTTCCTAGTAGACGTCCTCATATAAACATGAAGCCCTACACCAAAGCAGTTTTAGAAGGGAAAAACTACATGCAAGGTACGTTTTCCCCATCTCAGTGTGTATTTAGCGACACATTGAGTTGATTGTCCTGTTAGTGCTTGTTGAAAAAAAAATACAAATCCTTCACCTCAATTGCAATTAACATTTGAGATATAAGTTTTACAAACATTTCTGTAGTAAGAAGCTAGAATAGGCCATTGCATGAACAGGTAGTGGGGCGCACTCGAAACAATCACGGCAGATTATGAATTTTGATGAGTGAGATAGAATTGAAATGAAAACAATAACAATCCAATCGAAGAAAAGATTTTTGGGCCTCTTGAAATTATGACGGTTGCCTGTGTTTGCCTAATGGTAAGGTCGCCTCTGAGTAATGTAGTTTACTGTATCTGTTATGCAGCTCTGAGGTTTCAGAACCATGGCTATGCGTTCATCATGATATCATAGACATTAAAGCAGTGTTGTTTGATTTGGCTACTTCTGGATACAAACGTCCGCAACCAGTCATCAGGGATTTGGGATTGAAGTTGATTATCATCCCATCACTCATTGTTATTTCCTCTTCTTTTCAGGTTCTTTTGTCATCTTGAGAAGGACTTTAACCAAAATGCCCATCCAGCGTGTGCCACTATTCTTGTTAGCCTGCGGATCCTTCAATCCCATCACCAACCAGCACATGAGGCTGTTTGAGCTTGCCAGAGACCACATGCACAGCACAGGTTAGATGTCATTTGGGTAAATTTGACTTGTCAAGTGGTTACATTTTGTTCTTTGCTGCTTGTGTGTATTACTAATGTGAGATAGACAGATCGACACCTCCATTTTGACATCCCTACAAAGAATTTCAATGAAAATAGTCAACAACACAGAACCATTGAAAATTTGATGTCAACAATTAATCAAACAACTTGAATCTGAAATTGGTTACAAAGAAAGAAAAACAAAGTGGAAATAAAATCTCTGACTTGAAGTATTGCCGCGGTCACTTTTCTAAATGGACGAATGTTAGTTCAGACTGAAATAGCTGAATTTGGCGCAGTGGCAGCCAGCCTGGAGGAAAGACTGAATGTCAAAAGTTTGGGATCATTTCCCACTTATGTACCACAACAGCACGCCACCAATCATCAACACAAGGTAACATAATGATGTTGGCACAATTAAGATAGCCCAACATCTCTATTTAGAACACATTGTAATGTCCCCGTGAGTTCTCAAGGACAGACACATTCGCCAGTGCGTTTTCGATGACTTTATTGAATCAACAAGCACATTCGGTCATACACAAGCTGCTGATGGCGACACGCAGACTTGCTTACAGCCAGCGAGCTCCACTCTCATTCGCTGACACTCACCAGGCCAGAACCCACCTTTTCAGAGTCATCGGCCTCGATCGTACAGTAGGACCTGAGAATGGCGACCCCAAGTGGACAAACAAATACCTGCACCTCATATGCACAGACATTTTATTTTATTAATTGATTAATTCTAGTCATTTTCGAAGAATAATAATTCTTCATAGTTCACCGTGATGAACCATTAGGTAACATCATACCACCTCGGCCAGTGCCAGAGTCAACTTTCAAACTACAATGGTTGTGTTTGTCGTCAACATCAGTTTGTTTCTTAACTGCAAACGCAACATTGTGTTACAATTGACCTTCTTGGCATAGTGTGTTCCACCAAAATTTCCACCAAAACAAACCAAAAATATATTCCTTTTTTTGTGTCATGTCCCCTGACCTAGAAGAAGGGAATTCATATTCTTGCCATGATTCTGTTTGGGAACAACAGGTGGCACTGTAGGGCTCTCCCTGCAGCTGCACACCCATTGGTCATTTTGTAATTAGTGCTTTAAAAGGACTCCCAACCCGACCACTCATGGTCGGGTCATTGTTTGTTTGTTTGTTGCTGTTTGCTGCTGTCATGTTTGTTCTGGTCATGTTTCTGTTGTTAATAGTTTTGTGCTTCAGTCATGGTTTTGTTTGATACTTTGTATTCGTTTTGTTTTCAGGACTTTGTTTGTTTAGGATTTAGTAGTGATGGGTCCATGAGGCCTCATGAGGCGTGTCGACACACTGACACACTGTGTTGATACTACATTGTGTTGATAGTGTGCTGATACTGTGTTGCTGACCACTGCCACCAGCTGGAATTTCAAAATCCCTGCAGCCAACCCACTGAACAGACTGAACTGACTGATTTGACGATGAAGTGTATACAATATCATTCACATCCATGCATTCATATTGTATCATTCAATGTGTTTCAATAATGTGAAAATCATGCGAATGAGGATGCTTGTGGGCTTTGTCTTCACAAATTTTTATTTAGAAAAATAAGATGCTCCAGTGTTTTAAATTTCAGTCTGTTGCGTTTCTTGCATGCTATTTCCCCTGCTGTGGAGAACATACACAATGGAATAAGACATGTCAAAAATCCAAGAGGCACTTGGTGATACAAGGAGATTTGAATAAATACCTTATTCTCCAAAAGGAGATCAAAATGGCTCTACATGGCGGACAATTTGCATTTGTCCGGAAGCTGCTCCATAATATGCACGTTCTGTAGCAACGTCACTCGAGTAAAGCGCGTCTCAGCAGTAGATAGTCTGCTGCTCTCTGCTGTGCGCGCGTGAGCGCGAGCACGTACTCACGGCGCCGACGCAACCCACGCCACATATTAAAGAAGTTTTGAACTACAACAACAGCTAAGCTAGCCTAGCCGATGTAATGATGGTCAGCAGACAAGGTTTATGTTTTATGTGACTTTTAATAACGTGGCAGAGTCGTCAAACATGCGGTGTGCTCACGCGCAGTCACTTCCTGGAACTCCCTCTTATAGGCGGGACCTCTCAATCCACTGGAGTATGACGTACAGTACAAACTTTCATAAAGCACTTCTCATATAATAGTAGTCTATTATATGACAGCCGACACGACGCTCGAAGTCAGACGGACACGTTTTTCTGATAATCTGTGTTTTCCTTTTTGCCCAAACATATATTTTTATTTGAGCGAGGGTGAGGTCTGGCTTGTTTGGCAGGCGGCATGTGTCGCCAGACGCACTTCCTTATAAACACTGTGTGGCTTTTGCTGTGTCGACGCCCCCTGGACTGAGTCGACGCTGTCTGGACTGTGTCACGCAGCCTGGACTGTGTCGACACAATCCAGGCCGCGCCGATGTAGTTCACGTGTTGATCACGTGATCTCATGAAGCAGCACACGCACCGACACGTGGATTGCTCTGTGAGCCCGACGCATGCGTCGACGCATCGGTGTCGCTGGACCCATCACTGGGATTTAGTTTTCTCTATGTTTATATACAATCTGTCAAGTACACCCTGCTCCTCTCTCCTGCCTGCCTTTTGGGGTCCACCACCACCACCTCGCAACTTGACAATTCTCTCCCCCGCAGGCCAGTACCAAGTGGTGGGTGGCATCGTGTCTCCTGTTAGTGACAGCTATGGGAAGCAAGGCCTGACACTGGCAAAGCACCGGATTGCCATGGCAAAGATGGCACTCCAGAGCTCAAACTGGGTCAAAGTCGACGAATGGGAGAGCCAGCAGGCTGACTGGACTGAAACAGTGGTCACTATGAGGTGAGAGGTCAAATCGTAATTATTCTGGACAGACTTTTAGTTGGTAATAAACACTAAGGAGTACTTTTGATCACTAAATGTCGGCTCATTGTTTTGGCAAATTCTCCTGACTGCCACCCAGTTAGTGTTTAGTTTCAGCCATGGCTTTGTTTGTTACTTTGGATTTTTGCTTTCTTCTTGTCTCAGTTCTGGATTTAGTTTTTCTCTTTGTTTAAAATACAATTCGTCACGTACACCCTGGTCCTCCCTCTCGCCTGCTTTTTTGGGGTCCATACCGTCATGTTTCTGTTTGTGATTGTCAGGTTTATCCAATTTGACACTCAGGAATAAAACACAAGGAGGAGACAGGAGACTCAATTCTGGTACCAGGAGGGAACGAGGAGGAGCGTTAGGTTTCAGTTCTCGGCACGTCACCCCTAACGATCTCCCCCTTCACCCCCTCATTTATTGGGAAATCTACTACATAGGTGTGTCCAACCTAAAGCGTGGGGGCTGTTGGACACACACTGAACTTGTTTGACTATGTGTGTGTATGTGAGTGTAAATTACGTACATGTGTGCAATTGTTACAAAAACATCACGTTGCAGCTGGTGTTGATGGCTCCATTCACTGTCCAACCTTGCTCCTGTTTAGTCTTAACACTTATCTCTTCCCAACCACGTCCTCGGAAAAGTGGTTGCGTCCCTAAACTTCCACACAGTGCATTAAACATTCCTGATTAGAAATGTGAGTATACAGTATAAATATAATAAAAAGGATTATAAATGTGAGTGCATAATGATTAATATATAATGATTAAGAAGCATTATATCTCTATTAGAAGCATAAGCGTTCTTCATTGCAGGCATAGTCAATTAATGATTGCAGGCATAAGCTTTCTTCTTTGCGAGCATAATCAATCAATCAATATCAAAACAACAATAACATTAATAATAAGCGAATGTATGATAACTAAAAATAATCAACCTATCAGTGATCAACAGGTGTGCAGCTGCAGGAGGAGCCCTCCAGCGCTACCTGTTGGTCACAAACAGAAACATGACATTCAAGGAGGAACTCTAGGCCAAGTGAAAGTTTCAGATGATTATTCATGTTTTTAACAGTAGTGGTGTTTTCTTTGAATTTCAAATTCTTATTTTTTTTTAAATTTGAGTATAGTGCCATTTTCAGTGTTTTATAAAGACTTAATTATTGTTATTTATCTCTTATTTTTGTGAAAGCTTTTGAAACATGAATATTTTGGTCTGCATTTGGTTTGTGTGGTGAGCCATGTTAGCCGTGTGGAGATACTGAAAGTCAGGATGGGGGCTAATACTTTGGGCCGACTGCAAATTATGCGCTGCTCGGGTGGCAACAGGGAGTTTCGAGCTCTGTCACCGCTTCGCCCTGCTCGTCCCGTTTACAAAGTACAGTACAAATATCATCAGTAAATATGATGAAATAAATACTTTATTGCTTTACTAACATTTAATATACAACATTTTGAGTTTATCCACATACATTGACCACGCCTCATTGAGCTTTTTAACGCACTGGGCACATTTTCCTGCGCGTCAAGTTATATCAGAATCAGAATCATCTTTATTGGCCAAGTATGTCGAACACACAAGGAATTTGTCTCCGGTATAACATGCTGCATTAGTATCATCATAAACAAGGACATGACAAATCCTTCCGCAAGGACTGACTTGAACAAGATGGAAGCCCAGAAAATGTCAAATGATGCATACAATTAAGCTGATTAATTACAGTTTAATTTTATCCATCCATCCATTTTCATCACGTATAGAGACAAACGACCATTCACACCCACATTCACATTGTCACTGAGTGGGAACCGATCCCACGCTACCCGCACACAAGTCGGGCGTGTGTACCACTACACCATCAATTTTTTTTTT